CAGGGTTAGCTTTTCACAGTGCTGTTTGTGGAAGAGCTGTGCCAGGATGGGTTGTGGGCTGGTTTTTGACCATCTGCATTGTTCTTCCATGGCTTTGGGCTGTCCCTCTGTCAGGAGCTGACAGCAGCAGGATTGCAGAAGGGTGAGTGCCCATATTGCTCCATATATGTGATGGCAGGAAGGCTGTTTGCATAAATCAATAGGCTGGAGAAGAAGAATGTCCAGCTAAAATACATGGCATTTTATTTTCTCCTAGGCAGCATTTAGTGTTGACAAATTCCACATAGCTTGGCAAGGATTTTCAACAGGTCTCTGGTTTACCTCCAAATAGTGGTAATTTCCAGCCATCATTGCTACTTTGCTATTTAGATGTTTGACTTCAAAAGCTGGAGAAAAATTTCCAAGAAAAACATCTTTGATATCCTCGTAGCTCCATGTGTGTGTGCAACCTTTAATCTTCCTCTTGTGGCAGAATTTCTCAGTAGTTAAATAGCCATTACTAGTCTTTAAAATATCTGGAGCAGAGTTGTCTCTAACTTGAAAATCTCTGGTGGCACACTTGAGGTCCTTAACATTGACATACAGAAGTGATCCCACGATGAAGTACTGTGATGCCCCAGGGAGGAGGGAAGTGGAGGGATCTGAGCACAGCAGTGCCAGGGATGTGTCAGCTTGCCTTGGCAATGCAGCTGGCTGGGGCAGTGTGTAATGGTCCTCTCTCCATTATGGGAATTCACAGCACAATGAGCCCTGGGTCAGTAGTGCTGGAATGAGGTGATGCCCATCCTCCAGTTTCCAACATGTCAGTGCACAGGAACTTTCTGGTAGCTGGGCAGGCTGCTGTTGTGCTTGGTGGTGATGCACAGTGAAGTTTTTAGTCAAGCTTTGTGTTGCCAGGATGGAGAGAATATGGTAGATCACATGAATTGCTGGAGTCACTCAGACTCTGCAAGGCCACTGGTAGTTAGATCTGTATAGAAGGCATGTGAGCACACAAGGCCTTGGCAGGAATTAATGGTTAAGTCACCTTAATGGAAGCTTTTTAGGAGCCAGTAGAGACTACAGAGGACTGGTTGGGTGTGCTCCCCCTGCAAGCACCCACACAGCACACTAGGCTCAGCTTCAGAACAGGCTGACAGCATTGTTCTTTGGGGAACACACTGCCACAATCAGGCCTCAGGGTCATGGAAGCTAGGGAGCTGGCAACAAGGTCCTTTGTGGAGAGAAGAGAGATCACAACCTTTTTTCTGAAACCAAATTAAAACAAAAAAACAACTCTTGGCTACAACCAGTTTATGGATAGCATGGAGAAACCCAAGATCTCATAAATCCTCCAAGTCTACAAAGAAACTGAGGATCACATTTTTTCATGAGTACAACAAAAAAATTTCTTCATCTCTTCTAGCACAATCAGTGGCACCACCAGAAACCTTCCTTCCCACCTAACTCCCGCTCTTCATTCTTTCAATATCAGAATATGTGTGTATTTAGCCAGTGGAGGTAAGAAACATGTTGCAACCCCCATTTTAAAATAGCTGCACCACCTGGAAAGTACATGTGAGACCCAGACACAAGCATATCCCATTGATGATGACAGTTCTTTTCTTGCAGTGTCATTTTCCTGTTGCTTATCTGAGGCTGTGAGCACCTGTGTAATGAAAGTGCACCTTGCAAAAGTCTGTGCTGCCTGTGCTGCCTGAAGCACGTGCGAGTCAGAAGGGACAGCAGGTGCTGTTATTGAGCTGTGTGTGTGAGAGCACAGGTGGAAGAATGTCTGTGTGTATGTGTGTGTGTGTATGTGGGACTCCTTCCATGTTTGTAGGCACCTTTGGGAATGTACACATGTGTTTGGTGTGTCTTCATCCCCTTTATCTACGGAAGACAGCATGGGCTTGATTCTGCTCAGTGCTGTTACACCAGCTTTCTAACAAATTGTATTTGTAGCAGGACTCTATTCCACTGCAGTGAATGAAGAAGGGAGATTTATTATAAATATAAATTAGGCTTTGTGTGTGTTTGTGAGCTGTCACAGCCTGTGCAGGAGAAAATATAAACAAGGTGAATGCAGGGTGTTTATGTGAAGTGATGCTGTGGAAGTGTATGTGTTGGCAGGAGTGCTGTCTGCAGTCTCTGCATAAGGGTTTGTGTTCCCAGTGTGAGTGTGGAAGACTGTAAATCACAGTGTGTTCAGGAGAGGACACTGCCACTCTGCCTTTAAAAGGCAGGAAGAGATTTTTTTTTTTCAAACAATGTGACTTTACAGGCTAAACAAAAGGGTTACTAGAAATCCAAGCTTGAGAAAAATATCATTCAAGACATTCTTACAAATGCGCATCTCTATCCTGCTCATCTCTATCCTGATCCAAAACAGCGTCATGGCAGGCATTTTTCATGCATCTTCTTCCAGTGCCAGGCTTTGGTGGCCCAACTGGACCCATTCTTGCATATGTCTTCAGCTCTGCTAATGCATCTCAGGTGTGTCTCTGTATCCTCAATTATCTGAGACTTTAGCCAGTGGTGGGGTGTAACTGGGGGTCTGTATGCAAATACAGTATCCCCTCGGGAATCTGTATCCCTTCAGATGGATTTACAGTATCACTTACAATGTATCTCATGTAGGTGAGACTGCCTCAATAAAGGAACTGTATCTTTTCCAGTATCTCTGCTGGTGGGTGCTGAATCCTGGCTTTATTCATGCTCAACCCTGAACTCAAGATACAGAGTGTGGAGTTCCCCTCTTCAGGACTAGGCTTGGCTTAAAAGTTATTTCATGTTCCTCTAAAATCACTGCTGTTTCCCAGAGGAGCACTTGAGTCATTACCAATCCTTGCATTTCCTCTCAGCCAGGAAGGGTTGAAGGGGTTTCAGGAAGAGGATGCTTTACAAGGAGACGTCTGCCTTCCCTTGCCATGCCCTGTTGCAAACAGACACAGAGACTCCTGCCAAAAAGCTGCTGCCTGTAGAAAATAAAGTGCAAAGGAAAAAGAAGATGGGATGTGAGTTAATGACAGGAGAGGGCATGATTTCAGGTGGGGATGTCTGATGCTTTTCATACTATGTACAATAAAGCAGATGCTCGTGGCAGCACTGATGGTGAGCTAGGAAGTGTTTTTCCTAGCCACAGTTGTTACATGGCATCACTGGAGCAAGTTGCAGGTCATAGTTTTTCATTTGGGTTTTGTTGTGGTTGGTACTCCTCTCCTTCTTGCCTTTTTGTTATTGCAGGGCTTGTGAAGGGGAAGGGGTTCTTATTCTCCTGGTGTGTTTTGTGTCCTTTCTCTTGTTCCTGGCAGCCACCCCCTCCCCAGCCCAGCCCTGTCATATTCAGCTGTCCTTGCTGGAAGGTGCCCAGCCCACCTGAGGTGTTCATGGCCAAGGACGTAGCATGCCGTGTATCGAGAACATGCTGACTTCACGTGGGAACTCAAATGCTACATGTCAGGCATCCCAACCCGTGGGCTGTGGTCACCCTGGGGCTCAGGCTGAGCTGTGGGGTGAAGCAGAGATGTGGAGGAAGAAGACCACAGGTTTGATCACAGAGGTAAAACACTCTGTAGTTACCACAAAATGCTTGCTGAAAAGATGGATATTGGGAGTTATTTGGCTAGCTGAGGCAAGGGAAACAGAAACCTGTCCTGGTGATCCCAACCCTCCTGTTTTACCCTCCAGGGATATGGAAGGGCTGGTAGGATCAGGTGCTCCCCATCCCCTGCTCAGGGTATCTGGGGGGATGGACTTCCTGCCAGGCTGCCTGCAGGGCACTCATCCCCTTTTCAGTGGGAAGTGGCAACCCAGCAGCACATGAGAGCTGTGAAATCCAGCCCTGTGTTGGGACAGGCTGCATTTAAGCACCGTGTAAGCCCTAATTTGAAGGCTTAAAGGGAGCTGAAGTGTGACACTGAATGCTATGTTTGAGCTTCACCCTTCCTGAGCCACAACAGCCTATCAGGAGAGAAACTATGGGGCAGGACAGCCTCTGCCTTCCCAGCTGGGCCATGAACCTTCAGCTGAACTTGGTTCTAGCAGAAGTGTTGGATTTGGTTGGGTTTTAAACTGTAAATGTGATAAACCATGGCTGGCAGTTCTGACTGCTGTGGCTTGTACTGTATGCCCAAAGAAGCTGTTGCAGTAACAGGCCTGTTCTGGCAGTCCAGCAGGTCTCCATCTGTCTAGGTATGTTCATCCCTATAGTTCTGCCCCTGACAACTGCTTTTCATCATTCCAGCCTGGTCACTGCTTCTCTTTGCAGGCCAGTAGCAGTTAACAGCACCCCTGTGCCAGGCTCCTGAAGGCCACATAGTGTGACATAGTATGCACCCTCTTCTCCCAGCCAGGGCTGTGGGACTTTGGCCAGTACAGCAGAGAAAATATCACTTTACAAGAAAACAGATTGTTTTTAAGTCAAAGCTAAGACTGTAGCACTTGCTGGAGGCTGGAAGGTAACTGTAAATCCTGGGTCTCATTTGCACAAACACATTTGGTTCCAATCCTTAAGGGCATTTTCCCTTCCCTTGCTTATGCCTGTGATTCAGAAACATGTAAATTTTGTTTGGATTTGTTTTTTTCAAAACACTGCAAAATGTGGGAGGGGGGCTTTTAAATTACACTTGGCACAGAAGGGATAAGGAGTATTCTGGATGCTCCACTGGGTAGGAATCTGTGGATGGTTGTCATTTAGGCTCTGTCAGTAGGAAACACTGAAGAGACTGGATATACCAGGAGAGTAGTAGTGAGATTTGCAGTCACTTACTTGTAAGTCTGCTGCTCAGATCAGACCTCTCAGCTTTCTTCTGGCCCAGCATATGAGACCCTACACGGTGGGTCTCATTTCAGGTGTGAACCTTATGTTCAGGGTCATTTGATGGATAAATGTCCTGTCAAGTCAAGAGGGACAGGCTCTGCTGCAGGGTTGCCACAGGAGTGGGAGGTGACACTGGCCAGTCAGGCTCCTTCCAGGGCAGAGATCTGCAAGATGCCCCTGCTGCTGTGGCTGTCCCTTTTGTGTCAAGGTCCAAGGAGTGAAGAAAAGTGGCTTGATTTATGCCCTGAAGAAGTTGGAGGTACAGATCTACCCAAGGGTTCAGAAAGAGGCAGCATGGCAGTGATTGCTGGCTTTGCTGGGGGTCACCAATGATGGCACATTTATATTGTTGAAGGCCTTATCCCCTAGCAGAAGTTTTGTTCACATTTACTGTCTGCTTACCAGATCTCAAAATTATTTAAAAGAGCAACAAATCAGCTAAGACAGCCTGCAAGGTGAAGATGAGGCTGGGCTACCCTGCTGTTGTTCCCTCTGGGAAGGCACAAGAACCATGCTGGCAAGGGTGTGTGCTGGGAGCTCTGCACCAACATAGGCCATGCAGTGTGTGCTTCATGCTCTGTTTCCAGAACTGCCAGCTCGGTGTCTTTCACCTGCACTGGCTCCCTGGGAGGAAAGAACCAAAGGAGAGTTGGTGGAAAACCAAAGGAGAGTCTGTCTACACAGAGACTGGCTGCTGTAGGAACCACCCCATCCTGCTATGAGTGTTGGCAGAGAAGAGGGAGAGGTTTGTGTCCTCTCCCACCTTTTAGCCAGAAGGAATGCATGTGCTTGGGAGCTTCTTCATGCTCTCCTGCCATGCTGATGGATTTCATGACACGACTTTTAGCACCTGAGGATAGGTGTGAAAAGGGAAGAGGTAGAGAAGTAGGAGGTGGAGGTGGTGCGAGTTAATACAAGACCCAGTGGGAAGCAGCAGCAGGCAGTATTATTTCTGTGGTTTGAGCCAAAACTTTCTCTCTCTCTCTCACACACACACACTCATTAAATTACAACTAATGCAAGTAGCATTGTGAAGGAGGAATTTGGGAACTGTCATTCATCATCCAATAGTTTGTAACAAATGTGCTGCTCAGTGCCATAGCCCATAGCCTCACTGAGAAGTAATTCACTTGGTATTTGCAGGCATGACATGCATGCCATAAGAATTCCACTGTTGTATTATGCCAGCATTAGTGAGAGGATATGAAAATAAATGATGAGCTATTGTTTTTCATTATTAAGTCCAGGCTTTTTGCTCATCTTGCTTTTTTCCTCCCTCCATCTGTGAAAGGAGGAGCCTCTCTGTTCTTTTCACTTTCGGATCAGGCAGGTTGTGCTCTCACTCATCACAGATCCCCCATCTTCCTTCCAGACCAGCACCCTTTTGCTGCTCCCTCCAGCTGTCTCCTGGGTTTGGAGATCAGCTGCAGCAGTCCTTTAAATTGCTGTAGGGTATTACCACAGAATGATATGGCATCAGAGGGGATCTCAGTATTTTGTTATGGGTCTACAGAACTGTTTTGCCCTCACCATTCCTCAAGGGGACCAAGCCCTGCTCTTCATTGTTGCACTGGAAGGTTCAGACTTGAGTAGTGGGTCAGGAGTTGGTACTTTCAGGTCATCCACAAGCCTTAAGTAACTCTTCTATTATTAAAAAAGAGGGAGAACTCTTGAGGCAGCTGTCAATCTGAATGAGAGCAGGAACAGAGCTGAGCAGCCTCTGTCAGGGACTGCTGGCAGTGGCCAGCACTTTAAAGAAGTCCACAAGGCAGAACAAGAGAAATCTGTGACCCACAGTTGTGAGAGGCATCCCTGTCCATTCCTGTGGGCTTTCCTGTGTTTCCTCCAGAGTTCTGTAAGTGCAAATGACTTAAACATTACAGGGGAGTGAGACAGTTAAGTGTAATTTATCCCTGTTTTCTAGTGGGGTTGACTAAAGAAGAAATCATAGCAGTTTCAGAGATGACCCCTGTTTCTGGAGTCATCAATTCATGGGGCTTTTTTAAGCTGTCACATAAACACCCACCTGCGCAAAATAAAAGACTTCTTTGGAAAACTGGGCTTAAATATCCCCATGAAATCCTTAAACTGAGTCAGTACCAGCACTATATAGGACTCCTGTGCTCGTAATCTTATTCTTAAACAACTAACCCAGGCAGTCTTTCATGTCAGTGAGTTGCTGCTCACTCCAGTGGCCCCAGCCCACATTGGCTGTTCAGCAGAAAGCCTGGCTGAGCTGAAGGCAGATGGCAGGGTAAGAGCTTGTGCTGATCCTACTGCTATTAACTCTACCACTCCTCTGCACAGCAAGCTGCTCCCTTTGAACATCAGCAGAACCGATTTTAAAAGCCCTGCGGCCCAGCCATGTGTGACAGAATAGCTCATTTTGTCAGGGAAAAAGATACCTTAGTAAACTTTTGAGTGGAAGCTGTCAGGGGTAACCTCAAGATGCTGGAAGAAGCAGCCATAGGCTCTGGGAAAGAGCAGCAGCCAGCTGCAGGTGTCATGTTCCCACCTGAGAGGGGACATGTGAAAACAGATGCTTTTTTCCTCCGTCCTCTTTATTCATGCTCTCACAGCAGCAGCGTCAACACAGGAGCGTTCTGTGACGTCGCTTTGCACGTAGTCGTGGTTATGAAATCCAAAGCTGCTGGGTCACTGTACTTGTCCTACCCCATGCTGTGCTGCCAGCACACCCTGGCACACAGCAACTGGCCAAGTGTAGCCATGACCAGTGGTTCTCCCAAAATATCTCAGGCCAAGTGGCTCCCTGCCCCGCTGTCTGCACTCACTGACACGCGCAAGCACACACGCCTTTAACACCCACAGCGTGTGTGGCTCTCAGCAGGTCACTTCAGGGCAGTGGCAGAGTCCCACGTCTTGGAAACAGGGAGGATGTGTTCCTCTGCCCAAGCTCCTCCACACAATCCTCTCACAGCCCTTGCAGTGATTTAAGTCCTTTCCACTGGGAAAAGATCACTGCATTTGATTCTTGAATTTTGCAATATGCATAAGTGGTGTGGTGGTGACACTGGGCTTGAAGCCATCAACTCATATTTACTTGTGATCTAAGACAGTGATTTCTGTTCAGACCTCAAAGGGCAAGTTGCTGTGTGATTTAAAGTCATGCTACCAGCAGAAGCATATGACCTCATGGTATGAAAAAGCAGGAGGAGATTAGCAAAGAAGTTTCTGAGGTACACAAATGTCCATGGGAAAAAATAAAAGAAACACATTAACAGGAGAGTCAGTCTGTCTGTGTAAGAGAAGGCTGGGGAAATGACTAATATGTGCAATTTGATTCAGATGTTCCCTCTTTGATTCAGATGTTCCCTCTTTGATTCAGGCCCCCTCCTTTGCTTTCCCTACCCCTTACCTCGCCTTGGATTTTTCTGCCTTTTAGAAGAGAACGAGCGAGGGAGAGTGGAAGGACTCAGTGAGGAAGGAGTTAAGGGAATGCTCACTGGGGATTATAAAACAGCCAGGCACTTGGAAACAGTTAAGAAGAGAGAAACAGATCTGCCAGGAGGGAGTGTGGCACTGGAGCCGGTGGTTTATTTTCATGCCTCTCTACACAGCAATGCAGAAGTCTCTCCTACCATGGGGACGGAGGTAAGGGTGGCAGGAACAGGGTGGGTGCCAGGGTGAGGGTGTCAAGGTTAAATGGGGAATAAACTTCCCCAGCACCAAGTTCACCAGCCTTCCCACTGATCCCTGTTGATGGGCTCTGCTCTGGATGTGGATTGTTCCTGTGTGGGTGGCAGCAGGTAGCACCTACCATCGGCTGAAGGCATGGCCTTGCCCTGGGGACAAGATGTCCTCTTTGCATGTTGGATGTAAGGAAGAGTGGTCTGCGCGCTCTTGGCATCACCCTGGAAAGGTGGACACAATGAACTTGCTGTGTGCGCAGCACCGAGAGCACAGTGTGGGCAGGTCTGTGGGTATGCCTACGTGAGCATGAGCTGCATGCGAGGTCTTCTGTGAGTGTGGCTGTGGGTGGGCAGCCTGTACAAGCCCACCTGGCCAGGAGGAGCCTTCTGTCATGCTCTGATGAGGTGTCTTTGAGTCACAAGAAGCTGTGCTTTCGCTCACCCTGTATTCGTGTCTCAGAAGCCCAGCTGAGGCCTTCTGCACGTCGTGTCAGGCACCAGGCACCGTAACAGGGGCAGAGACTCCTGGTCCCAGGAAGGAAAGGCTAATGCAAAGGCAGTGTCACCTGACAGACCAGGGCTGCGAAGAGAAGCCAGGTGGCTTCAGGCTTCCTCCACTGTGTTCTCCACATGCCTGTGCTTGGAGCAGGAGCTAACTTCTCCCTAGTTTGAGGGACACTGCTACTGTGATGGTGGGTTATGAAGTGACCTGAAGGCAGGCCCTGCCATCACCTCCTGGCTCTTTGGATCTGTGCATGAAAAATGGTGTCATTTACAGCCTCCTGGCAGCAGGAGCTTACAGGGAGTGACCTGTTACCCTTACAGTGACCACAGGGAGAACTGCGCATGTGCAACACTGAGATCCATTTTTCTTGAGGAAATAAAAGCAGATGCAACTATTAGAACTGAAGTGTGTGCAGAGAGGGTTAGTCACTCTGCAAGTGTCAGGGACTTGTGAGGAAATAGCAGGAGTTTGCTGACTAATACCAATGATGCTCAAGGAGTAAATGAGAAATACAGAGGGAAAGCCCTCTGTTTCTGAATTTGGAAGAGAAAAAAGACTTGAGGAAAAAAAAAAAGGAAGGAAGATGTATAGAGTTACTAATCAGCCCCCAAAGTCTCTGACCTATATCTCCCTCCTTTCCCTGGATCCATTCTTGAAATGAAAAATTAATAGAGAACAACCAGGTTTTACCTCAAGGGTACCCTTTCGGGCTGCCATGTACTACGGCCTGGGATGAGTGGGTAGGACTTTGGAGTCCCTCAACACGATGCAGAAAGCAGAGTAGTCTCAGTCCAGGATGTTGAAAGGATGTCCAGAGAGACTGAAAGCAAGAAGGTAATCTCCTCTCTTGGAAGGATGGTCTCTGGCTTCAGATGGTTGGGAAAAGGATGCTGAGCTGACACACTAGGTTAAAGCAGACCAAGGAAGGATAGTCCTTGAAGTTACTGTAACTTTATCAGGGGAAATGGAGGAGGGAAAAAAAGTATATCAGGTCATTAGTCCTCTGAGGACAAAGTTCATTCTGTCTACAGAATATTCCTTCCTCTTTTCCCATTTTTAGTTTTTTAATGAGGGAAGAGAATCCTTATGTAAGAAGCTAAAACCTAGGTTTGTGGACCAGAAGGTTTAATTTCCCAGTTCTGTTGCTGCCTTGCTCTTAAAGCTTAGGCAAGTCACTTTCTTCTGGCTCCATTTTTATCTCTATAGGATGTGGATTCTGATACCCTTTCCAAAATACTTTCAAATGTATTGAATATACGTTCTCTGAGGTGAGGAGGGCCTGGGCATTGCATCTTGTGTGCTGTGTGTTGTGCAGGAGGAGGAGGGCGGATGCTGTGGGGTTTTTGCCTGCACTGGAATAGGCTCTGTGCCCGCAAAATACACCCACAGCTTTGGGCACTGCTGGATTTGCCCTCCCACATGACATGGGAGGGATGGAATCATGTAGCTGTGGAGTGCCCTGAGAAGAGGTGTTATCACCCACTGTGCTAGCAGGGCTAGGCTAGCTTTGAGGGGATCTGAGCAAATGTGAAAATCTGGGCCTTTACCATCTCCTTATTTTGGATGACCTGAATTTAGGTGCCCAAGACTACTAGCTATGTTTTATGTACAAGTCTGGATGCATCATGTTGTCTTTATTGTGGTCCTTCAGAGCCGATCTCCTTAGATCTTTGCAGGATACCTCACTTACTACTATCTTCTGTGATAAATGTCCTCCATAACCCTGAAGGGCCAGAAGCTGAGCCATCCATGCTGTCTCTGCATGAACTTCTGCCTCTTCAATATTAGGATGCCTTATGCAGCTTGAGAAACTAGGTTATATAGCAGCTTTAATGGGGCTTTTTCCAGACACTGATTGACCTGATTCCTTGGACCAGCTGTTTTATTTATTAAGCAAAATAGGAGAAGAATGAGTCTCCTAGATAAATTTGATTAATTGTGGAGTATGTTTAGACTATTTTTTTTCATAAATTGATATGGAGCTCTTTCTTTATATTGATTTTATAGATATTAATTTATGCACTAGGAATGAGAAAGATTTGCCTCTCCATCTAATCCTATTTCTAGAGAGAGATTTACTTAATGTGCAGTGTAATTTGTCTAATGTGCAACTTTGTATGTAGAGTGTACCCAGATTCAGCAGAAACAGTGGGTATAATAAAAGAGAGCACTGTAGTGCAGTGCTGTAAATCCCTCTGTAATTAAAAATACTAAATTAGTCTAAGTTAGTGCAGTCAGGAGACATGATAGCTCAAAAGCAGGGATATATGGTGAGAGTTTTCAGTGCAGGACAGAGAAATTTGGTCTGTGTTCCTCTCCGTGTGGATATGGTGTGTATCAGGGGAAAGAACTATTCATAATACCATTTGCCAGGAATACAGCTTGGGTGGTAAAGAGGAATTGTTAGGAGTTATCCTAGGGTTGTCCTTTCATGGTCACAAGGTGATGGAGGAACCAGTTCTGCCAGTTCCCACATTGTCTCACATTGTTGTCCTGTGTCTATGTCTGGGTGTCTGTGTGTGTCTGGGTGTCTCAAGTCCTGTGCACAGTTGCAAAGCTGGATTTTACGCTCCTACAGAAGTGTCTCTAAAATTACTTCATTCCTCTGAAGAAGGCTGGCACCAGCAGTTGGTTGAATTATTCCCACCCCCCCACTGTCTGTCTTTTTGTCTGTTTGTCTTTCTTTGCCGGTGTCAGCAGAGATAAAATCACTGCCTGAAATTTTCAGACAGGCTTTTTTATCTTATAGGAATTTGTGAATCTCCCTGCAAATAATCAGAGGAAGGATCAGTTTATACCAATGTAAGATTCACTACCTCTGAGTACTGTCCATCTGCCTGTCCTATATCCAGCTTATGACCAGCGCTGCCTGCAGTGCCTGACACTTGCTTTCTCTTTCTGAGAGAACAGGAGGAAAGGTGGGGCTTATGGTCTAAGCAGAAGTCCCTGTTTGGAATTGACTAACAAGACTTTGTTGTGCATTAAATTTAAAAATAAATGGATCTTGTTTATCTGAACAGAACCAGGATATAAAATAAAGTTCTAATTACAGTTTGCATTTCAGTTTGACTTGATTGTGTTAGTGTAACATCTGTTTCTTCAACAACCAAGAAGAGAAAAAAAAGTGTATGTTACGGCAATGACCTGCCATTGAGGCCACCCAACAGCTTCCCTATTTTAAGACCTTCATTTTCAGTTGTTCACAACTTTACTGAACTTAAACTATCTGGGCAGAAATTTTCCATCCCAGCTACCTGCCTCACAATGCGTATTTAGAAAACAGCTCTTTTGTACCTCTCTTGTATTTTTTGATGCATGTTAAATATAACAAATGTACAAAGAAATGAGAAAGTAAGCCTCCACATTAACAACCCAGTAAAATTTGAATGGTGTAAGTGTCAGGAATACCACTTCTGCTATCTCTGAGAGCATCAGCCCAAAAAAATCATTGTCACCACAGCTTCAACTTGCAAAACATATCTCTGAAGGACTTGTACCTAAGAGTTTCAGTTGAGCATTTAAAACTAGTGGAAGCTTTTCACATTAATCTCCCTGTGCTTTGTTTCCCTGCCCATGACATACAGATAATACAGCGTCTTACTTTGTAAGGGCAGTGTGAAAATACATTCCTTTATGTTTGTGAAACATTCAGTTACTCTAATGATGCATACTGTAGGAAAGGCCATGAGTAAATTACTAATTACATCTGCAGAGCAGAGCGTGGCAGGTACACAGTAAAGGAGGCTCGGAGCCGCACCTCCAACAGCACTGAGAAGATGAAATAGTAACTGGGTGCTTACCAGGTGAGCACCCTGGATTCTGCTGCACTGGGTGAGGCCAAGGTCCTGTGGAAAAATAGCCTGTGATTATGTGATTAACAGCTCTGCCATGGTGCACAGGCAAGAAAGAGGGTTGAAGGTTGCACAGGCAGCCATAAAGCTGAGTTTTCCTAAGTCTTGCATTCTTGATTTGCAGCTTTAAATAGTCTTGCTTTCACCTATCTCTTGGTCATGCAGAGTGGGAATGAGGAACAATAAACAGCTGTTGCTCCTGGGAGAAGAGACAGGAAAGCGTTTGGCGCCATTTGTCATCAGAAAGAAAAATTGGTGAAGCCTTCTAGCCAGACATTCTGTGTAGGAGCAAGTGTGACCCTCAAGACAGAAGTTCAGAGTCGGAGGAATAACACAAATGAACTGAGATATCTTGTTTCCCTTATGACAACTGTCTGGTTTATGCTGTTTTTCTCTAATAATGCTCTATACCATTAAACAGCAGTGCCACAAACCAACAGACTTGCAAATTATTTTAAGGAAGAACAAGTTCATGCCATTGCTTTTTCTTTGGGTCTTGCGGGAAGGTGTTTCCTGATTTTACCCTGGGTACTCCCAGCTCTGGTTGCTCCTTCTCCCAGGTCCTGCCCTGTGGAAGTCCCAAATGGTACACTCATGAGACTGTAA